GAGATAGATAGATAGATAGATAGATAGATAGATAGATAGATATAGGTATACATTTAACAGCAAGTGAACACTCGGCCTGAGGAAGCTCAAGCTTATCAAAGCAGTCTTGATGGTCCAACGCTAGTTAATCTCTTTAAATATTTGAACCTCTGAATCTAGATAAATATCATATTTTATTATAGTTGTCTTTAGTTTGTTTTTGTCTTTGGGTTTTTTTTCCAAGGGGGTGGTGTTTAAAATGGGGGAGGGCGGGGTGGTGTGGTGTTTGAAGGGTGGGGTGTGGTAGTGTTTGAGAGGGAAATGTGGAAAGGCATGGTGTTTGACAGGAGGGGGGTGGGATGATATAGTGTTTGAGAGGTAGTATTTTAGAAGGGAGGGTGGGATAGTATGATGTTTGAGAGGGGTAGTGGGATAGCGTTGTGTTTGAAAGAGGAGGGTGAGATGGAGTGGTGTTCGACAGGAGGTGAGTGGGATGATAGAGTGTTTGAGAGGTAGTATTTTTGACAGGACGGTGGGATGGTGTGGTGTTTGAGAGAGGAAGGTGCGGTAGTGTGATGTATGAGAAGTGGTGTTTTAGAAGGAAAGCTGGGATGATGTAGTGTTTGAGAGGGGAGGGGGGATAGTGTGGTCTTTAAAAGGGAGGATGGGATGATGTAGTGTTTGAGGGGTGATATTTTTTTACCGGAGGGTGGGATAGATGAGAGGGAACGATATGGTGGATAAATGTGGTTTGGGAGGGGGGGGGGTTAACTCACCTTGTCAAAGCAGACAGTGTTGATGGTCCCGCACTGGTTGATGCCCCTGGGACTGATGCAGTAGACCAGCTTGTGCTTGAGGCGGCGCTGTGAGAAGACCACGCCCACTGCCAGGGCAGCCGGGAGGGCGGGAGGGACGGCGATGGTGATGAGGTCAAGGGTACGCAGGACGATGTCTCCTGGCTCGTCTCCGTTGTTCACCTGGGGGAGGTTGGGGACAAGAATGGGATGACAATACTGTTGATTGTGTGGGGAGTGTGTGTTCTAGAGGGGGGAGGGGCGAGGAGTGTGGTTCTATGGGAGATAGGTATGCCAGTGGTAGTCTGGGAGTTTACGGGGAGGGAGAGTTTTTGTGGTCTTAGGGATAGGGGTGTGGGGGGTGTTTTTGGGTAGACAGACAGACAGACAGACAGACAGACAGACAGACAGACAGACAGACAGACAGACAGACAGACAGACAGACAGACAGACAGACAGACAGACAGAAAA